GGCAATGGGAGTTGTTTCAAAAGAAGGGAATAAGCCTGAAATGATGAATATCTTTGCATAAGTGCAAAACGTAATACTTGTGAAGAATATGGAGGACGACCTTGAGTTCATGAAGCATATCAATGTTTTTTATTTTATCCATTTCTTGAAATGTATGAATTTCATCTGGGATGGTAGAATGTTGGTCAGTTGGAGGTTTACAAAAAATGGGAATTTTAGGTATTATAGAATATGGAATAGAAATTTCATCAGAATAAATGGTTGGAACAGGGTTTAGCTCATATTTTTTAAGGTTATTCGTTTTCCATATTATAAATACTTTTTTTCAAAATGGTCAAAGCATATAACTGAATATTTGCTTGGCTTCCAATCTTTTCTGTTAACAAATTTCATCCATTTTACTTCTAAAACAGTATCTTTAGGAAAACTAAAAGCAGCTTTACTTACACTAAGAGAATTAGATTCATTTTTTTTAGACTTATAGCCAGTTCGACAATTAAAAACAGCACATTTGTTCACCATTATATCCAAAACTAAATTTTAAATAATCAATATCTCCCAAAATAAAATTTAAACAATATTAACTGGCAGTATGAAAAATAACCGAAATGCTAAAAACTGGCCTTCTAATTTTAGGCCTATTTATGCAATATATTCGGCCGTGTATAAAGTAGGCCATGGTGGATACTAAATAATCCAAACAAAGCAGATTTAATTTCCTGCATTAGCAATATCAATTCAGGGTTTTGAACATTTAAGTTGGATTTAATGTTCAGCATCCTGTAACTATTATAAGAGTAAAGCCATATTTTAAAAAATCTTCACTATGTTTTCTTTTTTTAACACTTATTTTTTGCTGTTTCATTATCATGCCTACACCCAATTTTGTAAATAAAATTTGTGAAAATGTTGGTTTTTATAATTATTAAGCATGCACTTGAAGCATTTACTTAAAATAAAATTTTGTTAATTCTTAAAAGCATAGCTGAAAACATTGTATTGAAGCACAAGAGATGTTATTTTATTTTGAATCAGTATGTAATTTTGCAAAGAATAAAGGTGCAAAAGTTTAAAAAAGCTAAATTAATCAAATTTTTTTATTGCCTAATTATTAGATACTAATAAGCACATATATATATATATATATATATATATATATATATATATATATATATATATATATATATATATATATATATATATATATATATATATATATATATATATTTTTTATATATATATATATATTAATATATATATATTAAATTCCTAATTTTGTTAGAACGCTGTATCAAATTTATTCCTGGTTAACACCCTGTATATATATATTATATATATATACAGGGTGTTAATCAGGAATAAATTTGATACAGCGTTCTAACGAAATTGGGAATTTGTCAAATTGAAGTATTTCTCAATCATCCCCCCTCCCCTGATATTAAAATGTGTTCTGGGAAAGCATGGGGTCATTTTTTGGTGTTCTTTTTTTTTTTACTCTACTTCAGCGCTGTATACATTGATTGATCAGCACCAAAAATAAAATAAAATACCATCTGTATCATTAAAGATTAATATAAAATCAACACAAAATTAGCTGTTGTTTCATGACGACACGGCAAACTAAGAACCGATTTCTAAACATATATTAGGAATGATATATTTTTTTATTATAAAATAATCAGTGTATATTAATTATTATTGAGAATAATTAATTTGATTTATTTTTAATCTTTATATATTGTCACTGCTTTTATTTCAAGAGTATTATTTTGAATATATATTTCTTTTTCAATGTAATATAGTAAAATAGCGATCTCCAATGAGCCAATGATCTTCTACTTTTAATTATTATTTAAATTCTGCTCGACGTACTTTACGGAGGAACTCTTACATCATCATGTAATAAATTGTGTCATGAAAAGAAATTTTATGAAAAAAGATAAGGTTTTAAAAATAGTAAACACGAGCTCATAAATTTCATATTTCACATTTATTGCGAGTTCAATTTTATAATTAATAATAATTTATTTTATACATAAATTACATAGCAAAATAAAGTTATAATCACAAAGTTTCAGCAAATACAACAACAAATGTTGTTTAATTATAGAGTAATATTTTTAGCAAGCGATTGCACGCGTGGTATCGAAGAATACAGTAAAAAAGTAAAAAACTTTAGCAAATTCAGTAGATAAAATACCAAACAAAAAAAAAGAAAAACAATAACTAAAAGACTCTCCGTAATACCCGTAATTGATCGAAAAGTATCTGACATAACCTTCTCGATGTTTTTGTTGACGAAATACATGTACTACTTAAAGTTGAGTTTATGGTAAGATAAGTTATTTAACTTTTTAGCCAAAAAAGGACGAAAATTTTAAAGAAATAGGATTTGCGGGTCTTAAACCAAACAAGTTTGTTATTATTTTGGATCTTTAAGATTAGTACTTTATTTCTTACTAACTTGCAAAAAACTATTTTCAAACTTTATTGCAAGTTGCCACAAAAATCGCTGCAAAAATCCCAATTCTCTTAATGTTTTTTCCAAGAAACCAATTTTCGCAGTTATGCAATTGCGTTTTTATACCAATTATGACGATTTGAGTTCATGTTTTACGCAATTAATAAATTAGAATTTTTTAATGTTATTTTTCTATTAGTTTTGAATAATAATTAATTTTAAATTATTTTTAGAACTATTATTAAACTTTAATTTGGAAACTTTATTAGGAGAATGGGATTTTTTCATCTTCAAATTGGGAATTTTAAACTCATGAGTATTTGGGAAAAACGCGTTTGACGGGGCGCCACAGGGCTAGTTTACACCCTGATATATATACATATATAGGCAAATAATATATTATAATATTTTGTAGTTAATAGTGAGAGTGATACCACGATATGTTTAACTTTAGTTTTTAATTTCATAATTTTAGTGCATGCATAAAAATATTTTTCCATCTTTATTAATTGAAATATGCATAAAATTTATGCCTGTATTAAAGCATAGTATTATTATATCAGGGCAGGTTATCGTGTTGGTAACATGTAACCCAGTACAACCTTTTCCATGTCCTGTTGCTATGTAGGGTTCGCTTTTTTAGGGAAAGACTAAGAAATTCCAGCTCTGACTTAACACACCCCTTGCCTTGAGGTTCCTGGTTGAGTAAAAGCGGTGTCTGGATAAAAATACTCATCTTGGGCAGACGTTAAATGCATTCAGCCACTGTTGTGTACGGATGAATAGATTCTATTAATTTACATTAATCTCCCAGAAATTCTCAAAACTAAGGTGGAATTGTTGGCTGATGGTAATACCATGTAATTTTGTCTTGATATGAAGCCCATACTCTCTGATTTGCTCACTGCCACAGCATGAGGCTCTCAGAGGTGGTGACCTTTAACTCAGATAAACTAAATTTTTTTCTGTTAATTGTTATCACAAAAATCAAGATCTTTCTATATTTATGAACAGTAATATACTTGATGAGTCATCTACCCATCATCTTCTAGGATTAACTCTAACTTCCTATCTTTCTTGGAAACTATATATCAAATCTGTTGAAAAATTAGCATCTGCTAAAGTTGTATCTCTTTATCGTGCTTGCCACTTTCTTACTCTGTACTTTATTCTTTATCTCTATATATCTCAAATCCGTCCTTGTATGGAATACTGTTACCATATCTGGAGCGGTTTTTTGAATGATGGCCTTTGTATTAAACAGGGTGTAAAAATGCATTGTAAACATGTTGGACCTGCAATTGCAGCCAATCTTCAACGATTGTCACATCCTTGTAAATTTGCTCCTTTTCTCTTTTTTATAAATAGTATAATGGGCGCTCCTTTAAAAAGCTATCATCTCTTGTGCCATCTACCAAAATTCATTCTTGTGTTACTTGTTATTCAATAAAGTCTCAACCTTTTACTGTGATTGTTCCTAAGTGCTCTAAAAATTTTTATTCATTAGAATTCGCTTCCTTCATCTTGTTTTCCTGATTCATATAATTTTCAATCTCTTAAGTTGACTATTAATTGTTATCTAACTTAATAAACTTCATCTTTTCTCTTCCATTAACATACAACTCTAATATTGGTTGCAATCTTACTTAATAAACTTCATCTTTTCTCTTCCAGTAACATCCAACTCTAATAGTGGTTGCTTTTAGCCTTGTTGAAAGTGAAGATTTAAAAAATTTATTATTATAATCTACATTAATGTTTATAACTTTCAAATTTTTTTTTAGTCAATATGTTATTTTTTTTTTACCTGATATGCATACAATTTAAAGATATATTATATCTTTAAATTGTACTTTATATAGATATGTTGTATTTTTAAAAAAGATATAAATTATATTTTTTTATAATTATGTTGAATAAAGTTAATAACTTTCAAATTTGTTAATCAATTTGTTAATTTTTTTTTTACAATATGCATACAAATTTAAGCCTATATTAAAGCATAATATCTTTTTTTAATGATGTAACTTTCAAGTTTGCTGAGCAATTTTATATTTTAATCCTTTTTGTTTTTACACAACAAGATTTAAAAACATTTTTTCAAACTTAAACACTTTAGTTTTAATTGTTTTTGTTGTCAGTTGTCAGATGGATATAAAATTAAATCGAACACAAAAATAAAACAAATTAGAAAAAGTAGGGAGATCCTTTTTTATCAATAATTCTAGGGACTGCTTCTATTACACCAGATATTTTAAAATCAAAATAAGAAAGAGACTCATGCCAAAGCTTATTGAATTGCTCAATTAATTTTCTTATTAGTTAGTATCCATAGAGACATCCATGGTGGGAATGTTATTTTGGACCTAGACACAATATATTTTATTTATCTGATCTGTAAAAATCATTAACTGAGTATGTCCTTTTTTCACACATCAAATGTCTGAAAATAATATCATTTGATCTAGTGAATATATTTGCTTTGATATGTTTTTCTGTAAACAAAAACAAAAAATTATTATTATTATTTTTTTTTTAGGTACATTATTTACAAAAGACATTGCTGAGCTTTCGAAGAGAATAATCAATAAAGTAAGATGTTTTATAGCATTTTAGCACTTTCTATACACTCTTTTGTTACACATTTCTAACCTTATGAACAAAGCAGGAAATGTTTAATAAAATGTTTTAAATATAATATTTTAAAAGTATGGAATCATTATAAATTTAGTTGGAAGCAATGTGAAGAATATTCATTATTTTTACCTGAAATCTAGAGCCTTTGAGCTTAATAAATGCTTTGGAACTTCTGAACTCCAAGATAATTACAGGTACTTCATGAGACTTTTGAAAATTCATAAAATTATTATTTTCAATAGTCTTAACAATTCAGGTGAAAAGAAAAACTCTAGATTTTGGGACTTCTAAAATGATGAATCTTAAAACTCTAAAATGATGAATATTTTTTTCCTATAAAGTTAAGAAGTTCCTAAGCATTTCCAAATTATTAAAAAATAGATGTTAATAAATAATCTTGAAATAAAGTATCAAGTAGAGAAAAAGCTTAACAACAATTGCTGAAATGTAGACGTTCCTACAAATCAACATAAATATGCAGGTTCACAGTGTATGGCATAAAGAAACAATTTAAACTTATTGCATGGTTGAATTTTTTTATATATATATATATATTTTAAGCTCATTTTGTTGAAGGTCTTACCACAATATTTAACTAATTGACTTAATTTAAATAATTAAGTTTAAAAAAAGCCTCAGTAACCTCAGTTTTTGTTTTCAAAATCTGATACTGCTAATTGTAATTATTATTATTATTATTATTATTATTATTATTTATTTTTACTGTTATTATAATTTCTATGATAAAATGGCACACTTAGTTGGTCATTTTAGACTGACATTGTCTGATAACATTATGTTTATTTGAATAACTAATGCTACCAATGTGTAATATAGATAAACTATTAGATTGTTTTCCGATCTTAACAATCATGCTTTTAATAGAGTTAATAAAGTTTCCCATAATCATACAAAAAAAACTTTTTTTTTTTTATGAACTCCTCTTACACATCCAAAATTCTATGAGCTAAACTTTAAATATTCATGTATTCTTTTTGAGTTGATCTAATTGTTACTTTTTTTCTCTTCTCACTTGCAATTAATAGTATATTTTGACATCGTTCTTGCTTCTTAGAACATTTAAAAAGTCTTTTATAAAGCTGGTGTTTCCTTCTGGGCAGTCATTAGTTATTAGGCTTTTTAACAAAATTTTCATATTATCTGTATGATTTAGTTTTCAAATAGCTAGGATGAAAATGAACCTATCTAAAAAAAAAAAAATCAAAATTGCCAATCAAAATCTTTAAAGCAGCTAATAAAAAACAAACAATCAAAACCAATAATAAATACTTAGATTTCGAAAATACTTTTTTAAATCAAATAAGTTTTTAATAATTCTTAATATTTCAAAGATTAAACTTAAAAAAGGTTCAAATGCATTAAATTTGAATTTGAATGACCACTTTTATACTAAGTTTTACTACTTATTTACTATTTTTTATGACAACTTTTTTTCAACCTTCTTGTAGATGTTTTTTTTAATATCAACTTTCAACCTACTTGTAGATGTCATTTTTTATATCAACTTCCAACCTTCTTGTAGATGTCTTTTTTTATATCAACTTTCAACCTACTTGTAGATGTCTTTTAATCTTTAAAAAACAACAATGGCTAAAAAAGTTTTCATTTTAAAATAGATGAAATATTAAATTTTTTAAAAAACAAGAATTTTTTTAATAAAATTCATTGTTTCTAATTAGCATCTGTGTCTTATCGTATCCTCTCGGAAGTTCGGTTTGACACAATAGAAAACAATAATTTTTGTTTTGTGCTGTTTTTACGAAACAACAAAACATCATATCGTTTTGTACCGTATTTTTACGAAACAAGAAAATTTTGTTTTGTTTTGTATTGCTTTTTACAGAACATTTCATAATTCTCCCGCCCCAAACAGATATTTTACAATTCCCACACCCCTGAGCAATACATGAACTTTAACATTCAAACAGAATAAATGCACGTTTAATACTTACTAACTTAATATTTCTTAAACAAAAGTTTAATTTGTTAAAAAAAAATTAATGTTTTTTGGGATACCCTTATGGTTAATTATCAATAGTGATATTATAGTGTATTTGCCATAGATTTTCTACAGTTTGATTATTTGAATAATAACAGTTGTGTTATTTAAAATTTAGTTGACAAATACATTGCTAGCTGAATCTGGAGTCGTGCTACTGGTTAACAAAAGCAATGATCAACTTTTTGCTCAAGTAAGATCTCTTTATATTACTTATTGACCTAATAAAAAACTTTTTTATCTTTTTAAATAAATATTTTATAAAATGGTTGTTTATTCAGAAAATTTTTTAGTACATTCTATTAAACTAATTATAATATTTATCTGTATAATAATAAAACATGTTTTGTACTTTTTCTTTTTCAAAATATATTGAATAATCCATTTGTTTATGTCTTGTTTATTAAAATATATCAAGCCCTCTATTTGCTTTTTAAAAATATTAAACAACCTAAAAAGATAAATTAGGTTTTAGTGTTTACCGTGATTCACAAGAAAATTTTCTGGTGATACTAATATACACATATGGTAGAAAAGTTATGCCAAATTATCAAGTCTTGCTAATTTAAGACATTTTTTGATGAAGTTTGAATAGAATTGATGAATTTTGATTTAATTTATAATAGCACCAAAAAGTATTTTTAAATTATTATTGATAATAAACAAATTTGTAGTTGAACAAATCCGACAACCTAATAATTATTTTTTGACATCAAAACATCTTTATACTAAAAAATATGTTAAGATAACTAAAAACCTCTAAATTTTATGTAGATTTTGATTAACCAACATTTATAGTCAAAATTGTTCAGATGTATTATGTCTCATATATGGAATATTAGGTGTCACATTTAAAAAGTTATGTTTTTCAAGCATTTACTGAAATGAAAATATCACATATGTGATATGAAGGTAAAACATTACAGACAATAATATACATGTGTACATTTTCTTTTAAACCAGTTTGAAGAACTTTTTTTTCCTCTCCCTTTTTTATGTAAATTGTTGAAGCTTGAGTTCTAACTCCATGTTTCAACAATTTGACAGATGTATAGATATGCAAATTAGTTATTTAACAAGTATTGTTAGTATTTCAAGTGCATTTTTCACATTGCATTATATAATTTGGAAAATGGGTTTGTGAAAATATAAATTATAAAAACTATTATTAAAATTTTATTTTAATAATAAATTCTATAATTAGTCGCCATAATTCTTAGGAATTGTTGTAAACATTAAACCTGATTTTTACTTTTTTATAAGTAACACACTATTTATTTATTAGAAGTGATTTTTTTTTTTTTTTTTACATTTTTAATTTTTGTCAAATAATTAAAGTTTGTTATGTTTAAAAGTTTTTTATGAATGATAATACTTATTTTTTAGTCATTTGGAAACAAAAGTTTTGTTGATGAAGAATATAGAATTGAGGTAAAAAATGTGCATGTTTTTAATTTTTTTAAACTTTATATTATTTTGTTTTAAAAACTTCGTTTTAACATATTTTTTTTGTGTGTACTTTTTTTTAAAGATATCTAAAAGTAGTTTCAATGCATGGTGTGATCAACCAACTTCGCTTTCTTTTTCGCTTATTCCTGTAAGTTTCATTTTATTAAAATTTTTTAATGAAGAAAAGTTCACATCATCACAATTAAGTTGATACATCTTTATAATGTATATATACCATTATAAAGATTTTTTTTACAAGATTAAAAAAATAATATTAGAGAGATAAACTCTTTTAAAATAAGTACTTACTCGACATTATATAATTAAAAAGAAGTATGTTTAGTTTGTCTGAAACTTTGGACATTGAATAGCACAAGATAATAACTAATGTATTAGAATTATCTTTGGCCAATTTAATTTGGTTTTATCTATCTTATTTATATCTTATATATCTAGATTTCAGATTTAACTTTGTCTTCAAAAGTTCTTTAGTTCTTGATTTTGTTAAAATGAATAAAAAAACAGTGTAAAACAATAAAAAGTAATTTAATATTAATGTCAAAGTTTAAAATGATTTATAAAAAAGTAAAACATTCACAATTAAAGTAATAATAAATTTAATATTAATGTCAAAGTTTAAAATAATTTATAAAAAAATAAAACATTCACAATTAAATTAATAATAAATTTAATATTAATGTCAAAGTTTAAAATGATTTATAAAAAAATAAAACATTCACAATTAAAAGTAAATGATTGGGAAATTTTATTGTTTGCATTGTGATTAATTGTTTTTATACAAATTTTTTGTTAAATTGAATTGTTTTTTATGTAAATTGAATGCGTTTTTATAGGAATCTCTTATAGCTGAAGAATTTAATAAATTAAAAGCATTTTTCAAAATAGGTAAACTTTATTTTTGGTTTCTTTTTGTATATATATTTGTTTCCTAAATATGCCCAGACAATTTTTAAATTTAATAAGTGATCAGGGCTCAGCTGAATATAGATTTTCAAAAACATCGACCCAGGCTAGTCAATATTAGCACGCATTATTAGCTGCATTTGTATTTTTACAATTAAATGCTTTTACTATTTAATTTTACAGAGTTAAATGATAATTACTATTAACTCTGTAAAAGTAAATTCCAGCTTACTTGTAGTTACAGGTTTTCCTAAATTGTAAAAAAAAAAAGGAAACTTGTTTATAAAAAGTTTAATAGTTATGGAGTTCAAAATGGAGTTCAAAATTTTATTTTTCTTATTAAACCTATAAAACACATTCACAAAAGGTTGTTTTTAAAAAAAATGAATTTGAATAATTTTCAAGCATTATCTTTTTGAAAATAAAGAAGTTAGTATTTATGCAAGAAACTTTCTTAATCTCCTGTTACTTTATTTAATGATCTAAAGTGACTCAACGACAAAATGTTA